GGGGGGGGGGGGTACTTGCTCAGAGCCATTGTCTCATTGTATTGGAACGTGGAGGGAAGGCGTGTGTGCTCAAGGTGCAGGCTCCGTGCGCCTGTGTGTGTGCATTTATTGCATTTCTGTATCACCTTTGTGGACCTCCAGTCCCTCCACGTGGCCATATGTGGTAGGAAGTCTGGCTTGAGAGAGCATTCATGGGTGAGGGGTGTGTCCCACATCGTGTGCACCTGGAGGCAGACATTCCTGGGCTCAGGTTCCCAGCCAGATGACTGTTGAAAGGGAGTGTTGATACCCATCCTACCTGGTTGCTAAGGGATTAAACCCAATGTTGGCTGTGACATCCAGGGTCCAACCAGGAAACCCGAAAGCACTCACGGTTATTTAAAAAAAATTTTTTTTAGTGTCTATTTATTATTGAGAGACACAGAGAGACAGAGCATAAGCATGGGAGGAGCAGAGAGAGAGGGGGAGACATAGAACCCGAAGCAGGCTCCAGGCTCCGAGCCGTCAGCCCAGAGCCTGAAGTGGGGCTGAAACTCACGAACCGTGAGATCATGACCTGAGCCTAAGTCGGACGCTCAACCGACCGAGCCACCCAGGTGCCCCAGCACTCACAATTATTTTTAAACACAGGGGACCGAATATAGGGAATTAACTCCGAAGATGGAGGAGCCAAAACCCAAATGGATGGCCTGACAGCCCAGAAATTAGCAACGGTGGGAAACTCACATCACCCTGGGGCTACAGGCACAGACGGAAGAGGCAGGGCCCCCCAGTGGAAGCTGATACCATGGGGGCTCTACTCAGTGGAGCTGGAGCCACTGAGGGGACACAGCTGCTGTGAGAAGTGCCCACTTGTGGCCGAGAAGGTAGAGGTGCCCAGGCCTCTCCCCTCCTGCCATCCTCAGCCTCGGGCGTGCCTCCCATTAGCTGAACCCAGCCAGAGCCAGAGGGCAAGGCCACCTGCTACAAGGAGCAGATCTGAGGCGCAGGCACACAGGAAGGACTTCAGCAGGACTGGGAGGTGCCGAGCAAGCATGTGGGCCTGTGTGCTTGTGCCTGTGCTTGGGTGGGTGTGAGAAGTGGGTGCAAACAGGCATGTGCACACCCCTGTGTGCATTTCTAGCTTGTGTTGGCACATGATGGACAGCTTCCAGAGTAGTCCCATCAGACATCCACCACGTGCCGGGTCCTCTCCCACTCCCTTTGTAAATGCTAACTCATTTAGAGTCCCAGAGCTCTGTGGGGGGTAGGGCCATTACTGTCCCTGCTTTCCAGGGGTGGAAACCATGGCACAGACGGTGTGAGTAACTTGCTCAAGATTGCACACAGCTGACACTACCTTTTTCTGGAGCCGGGGTCCTGGCTGTCTAGAGGCTTGACTCTACCCACTCCAGGGACCCAGCTGGGGGGGAGGGGGGGCAGTCCTGCACCTTTCCCCTCATCCCTCACCCCCAGATGGAGAGTGTGGACCCTGGCAAAAGAAACGGCTAGAGTTCCTTCCTGCCAGCATCATTACTGACCTGGAGAGGCCCAGCAATGCCGAGGCAGGGTCTGAGCTGGTGTCACCGCCAAGGTTGCCATGAGCCCTGGGGCAGGATCTCGTGAGGTGCTGGTTCACACACCTGACTGCCTCGGCCGCGTGCCAACACCTTATCCACCCGCGAGCGGGTACAGGTATGGCTGCAGACCTCCCAAGTCATTCTAGGTGGCTGAGCTGGGGGTGAGAGCAGGGCATGGAGGAAGAGTCCAACGTGCACTGGACACGGGAAGGGCAGAGTGTCACAGCAGATGGAGAGAGCGCCCGCCCTGAGGCCACTGTGGGAGGAGGCGAATCACATGACCTCTCAGGGGGACACGTTTTTAAGTGTGCAAACCCACACGCACACACATACACCCAAAAACAACACCCCCTCCCACCACACACACACACACACACACACCCCACACACAATCCACCCATGTGTTGTTTACAAAAGACCTCACCTTAATAATAAGGGCACAGGCTGGTTGAAAATAGAAGCATCGAGACTGATGGACCAGCAAACTCTGAGGAGGCTGGAGTGGTTATGTTACTGTCAGGCAAGGTAGACCTCCGGACACGGAGTGTCTGAGCAGCAGAGGTGGACAGTTTGAACGCGAACAGGGGCAGCATGTAGGAAGACTTAGAAACCCCAGATGTGCGTGCACCTGACCCAGGCAAGACAGGTGAGGCGAGAGCGACAGGACAGAAAGGGAACTAGCCAAATCCGCAGTCTTTCCTGACGACTGGGAGCGTGCACACATCAATGGCTCCCAGGATGAGTTGCCAGGAAACCAGCACGTAAGCAGGCACTGTGTCCCGGGGTGTTCGTCCTGGCCTTTGCACCGTCTCTGGAGCTCCTAGTCTGCAGTGTAATGGGGAGCCAGACAGCCCCAGCACCCGCCCCAAGCCCGGGGGCAGCAGCTCCTAAGCCGCTAGCCCTCTGTTTCCTCATCTGTAAAAGGGAGACGGTCATAGATGCCACCCCCTGCAGGGATTGGGGTGACAGGTGTCCCATGCTTGGTGCTCTATAAATGTGAAGGCAGAGGACCCACCACCCACATCCCCTTTAGGGCCAGCCGCTGGCAGCTAGCGCTCGCCCCTGAGGCCTCTCCCTCTGGGAAGTGCCTTTGCTGGGGAGCTGCCTCACCAAAGTCACACCCCAGCAGGCCAGAACTCACATCCGTTCGCTGCTTGATAGGATGGGGTGTAGAGGCCCAGCTCCCATGCCCCAAGTTAGAGCAACCTGGAAGAGTGTTCTGACTCCAGAGCTGGACCTGGCCTCTGCCTCCTCCCCTTACCCACTAGTGCTGACCCCAAGGACACTCCCACATAAATATCCTGCAACCTCACCTCTACCCCAGAATGGCTTCTAGGGAAACCCAAGGAACCAATAACATTATTGTATCCTACGCAGTACCTGGCCCATGCCCCCCTGGGCTTATCGTCTAGCAGGAGGAGTTAGCAGGAATTGTGTCATGTATAGAGTCCGGTAGGAGTTGTGTCATAATCACAAATGACATTGGAGGTCACATGTGCTGAGGCCTCTAGGGAGAGGCCCCGGGAGCTCGGGGCCCAGGGTGCTCGGGCTGTGGGGTCAGGGAGGGCTTCTCTGAGGAGGTGAAGCTTAAGTCATAGTGAGAGGGCTGAACCAGAGTTGGCCAGGTGAAGCGATGACTTTGTTTACTGTAGTGTTTATAGCGATGGCAAAATCCTGGAAACCACCTAGATGTCCAATAACAGGGGGTATGTGCATTAAGTAAAAGGTGGTATATCCATAAGATAACTCTGTAGCTGGTGATAGTGGGGGTGTGGAGTATAGCCATCAGCACGGAGCAGTATGAACCCATTTGGGGATGAAAAAAATACCATCTATACACATGTAAAAAATATACACACACTCACAAAAAGAAAAGGCCAGAAGGATTATACACCGAAATGTTAGTGCCTTTTTCTGGGGGGGATCAGGATCATGGATATGTATTGTTTTGTTTATTAATAATCGACTTTGTTTTCTATTGTTCCAAACTGACCTGAACATTTCCTTTCAGTAGTCCCCAGGCTCGAAGCTTTCCCGAATGCATGTGGCGGTGTGGCCCCCCACAGCCTGGGCCCTCCGGTCAGGGCGGCGCACGGCTGTCTCTTCCCGTGGGCTTTCGGGCCCAGTGGTTGACCCCTTGGCGAAGCCCGGTTCTCCTTGAATAAAGTGCTTTCCTTGCCTGCCAAGCAGGGGCAGGGATGGGGGTTGAAGCCTGCCAAAAAGGAGAATTCCTGAGTGGGGCAGGGTAGGGCCCACAGTGTGCTGGGACGGACAACCCCAGGAGCCCGTGGGGGATCACAGCGGCAGGAGGAGTCTCCCTTAGTTATTTATACTTCGCACAGCCAGTGTTGGCATTGAATGCCTACTGTGTGCATTTGGCATTCTGGACGCAGGAGACGCAGCAGTGAGGGGGAGGGGTTTGAAACCCTGTCCCCCCAGAGCTTAGAGATCTGTGGGTGGTGGGGGGACAGAGAAAATAAAATCAATGATTGCATGTTATGCAATGGAGAAAAGGTAGGGGGGTTGGGAGTCCCGGGAGCGGGTGCGCTCCTGTTTCCTGTGAGGACAGGACGCACCTGTGTCCCCACTCCCTGGGGCTTCCCACACCCAGACAGGGCACCTGCCTGCATCTCCCCAGCCCAGGAACGGCCACCTCCAGGCTGCTCTTAAGGAAAAACACTTCCAGTCCATACCTGATAACCTGCCTCATTAAATTTAATGGGCCGGTTATTCCCATTAAATAAACATCACCTAATTATGAAAAACATATTTGCTGAAATTCGACTATGGAACAGATAAACCAATTACATGGTTATTCAGGCTCAAAACACACTCAATAATGAAGTGGGGTGCAGACCACAGCAGGGAGGGCCAGGGGAGCACCTGGAATTCAGAGCCCCCCCCCACCCCTCCCCACTTCCGTTCCAAGCTTGGTGGGGCCTCAAGAATGTTGGTGTCCCTGGGAGCTGCGGGCTGGGCAGCCTGGAATCCAGACCGGGGTGTCTCAGTTAGGACCCCTTTCACACAAGTGACAGAACCCTAGCTCACATGGGCTTAAACAAGAAGAGCATGTTGATCCATATGATTGAGAAAGTGTAGAAGGAAGCTTCAGGCATGGCTGGATCCGAGAGCTTAAACCTAGTGACTAGGACCTGGTCTGTCTCCTTCCACTTCTTACTATTCTCCTCCATGTCGCCTTCCTTCCTGGGCTTCACGATTTGCCCCAGCGAGTCTTGCCTTGTAAAGGGAGAACCTCTTTCCCTCCGGTTCCAGCTTAGGGTTTATGGGCAGATAATAAATTGCTCCAGAGCCGACAGAGTAGTATCAGGAATCTCTCAGGAGAGGCCAATACACACAGGAAAAACTGCCCCCCATCCCGATGACTCATCAGGGAAATGCAAGGCAAAACCACAAAGAAACGCCTCTGCACACCCATCTCGTGGTTGAAGTTACGAGGACAGACAATACCAGGTGTTGGTGAGCACAAGCAACCGCTGGGACCCACATGCACTGCTGCCAGGCGTGTAGAGTATTTAAACCACTTTGGAAAATGGTGTGGCAGTTTCTCATAAAGTTAAACATCCACCTACACTGTGATGCAGCAAGTTTACTCCTGGGTCGGTATGCAGGAGAATGAATATGTATGTGGTCTAAATGGTACATGGAGGAATGTTCAGATGGCTTTATTTCATAGCAGCCGAGTTAAAACGGTCCAAATGTCCATGGGCAGTAGAACGGGCCAGTTGTAGTTTACTCTTACAACAAGATACTGGCCCCCAATTGAAAAGAACAAACCAGAGCTCCCTGTAAGGACGGGGATGAGTTTCACAGACATGTCATGGAGTGAGGAGCTGGGCAGAGAGGAGTGGACCCTGGTATTAGCTCCCGAGCAAATTGCCACCAACGCAGCAGCTTGCAGCTGGCTGCAGATACTACCTCACTCCTGGGGCAGGAGCCCTGGCAGAGCTGAGCTGCTCCCTGCTAGGTGGTGGGGGGGGTGGTGGCGGGGGGGTCTCCTGAGGCTGCCATCAAGGAGGGCTCAGGCTGGGTTCCTTGCAAGCTCACCTGGCCGTTGGCGGAACTCATTCCCTTGTGGCTGGAGTCTGGAGGCCACCGGCCGTCCCCTAGCATGTGACTGTCACAGGCCCTCTGTCAACAGAGGTCTCACTTATCAAAGCCAGCAAGGGAGTCACATATCCGACCCGATGGGATCACAAAAGAGAGAGCCCTTCACCTTTGCTGGATCCTATCCATCAGAAGCAGGTCACGTACTTAAGGGGAAAGAATATACAGAAGAGTGACTCCTTGCGGGGCACCCCAGGATGTGCGTGCCTCAGTACTGGATGATTCCATTTATATGAAGTTCAGGAGGGAGAGGAAGGTATCTCCAGATAGCCCTTGAGGAATAAGTTCCAAAAATCTGTTAGTAAGAGGACAGAAAAAAAAAAAAAAAAAAGAAAAACAAAGACGGTTCAGAGCAGGGTGTGTAGTTTGTATCTCTTGAGAAAACAGGGTGGCAAGAATATTCATGGTGTTTCATCTGCTTGCACAGTAAGACATATTCTCTGCCAGGACGCAGGGAAACTGGTAACAGTTTTTTTTCCTCCTGGTGGTAGTTTAAATCAAGAAGGAGACTGACTTTCATCATGTATCCTTCTGTGCACTTCTCGGATTTTCAATGTTTAATGAAATAATACTTTTTAATTATTAAAGAAAAAAAAGGCAAAGAGGCCAGACCTTGTAGAAGGTAAAGGCTGCCGGAGGCATTAACAGCTGCTGCACGTTGCCCCCATCCAACCCCCACCCTACCCCCTCCCTCCCCTGCTTGCAGTGTGTAGTGATGAGTGGGGGTCGAATAGCGTGGACCCAGGTCTGAGGAAGCTGCTGGCCATCTTGGCCAACAGGTTGGGAGAGCATACCAGAGAACGACACAGAGAGGGCAGAAGCCAAGAAACAGATGCTGATGATGTTGGGCCCCTGATGCAGCCATGCCTGAAGCTAGACCTTCATGGACCTTTCAAACA